AGAGAAATAATAATCAAATGTAATACGTGAACCTTCATTTGATCCTAGATCAAACATTAAGTTAAAAGCTCTAAGATTTTAGAAATTGGGAGAAACGAAGTACCAAGTATTTGTAAGATTAGGAAATTGTTAGTGTGATGAAGTCACTGTAGTTATACAGGTGAACGTCCTTATTAGGAGATGCATACATGATTTAGGGGTAAAAGGTCACAATATCTGTGACTAGCTTTCAAGTGCTTCACATAAAATCAATATGTATTTAGAGAGGAAGAGAACTTGAGCAAAACGTTTGCAATCGGTGAATCCAGTTAAAGGGTCTGTGGATGTCATCAAACCTTTCTTTCAACTTTTCTATGGGTTGGATTTTTTTTTAATATAAAATAGAAGAAATAACAGAGATCCATTGGTCCTAATTTAAATTGAATTAGCATCCTCAGGTTAGGGCTCAGGAATCTTATTTTTCAAAAGCTCATTCGGGTGATTCAGACACACGGCCAGAGAAGATAACCACTGGTCCAAGTCTTGTTTCTGCTACCTCCTCTGTGCTGAGAAAAAAGTGAGGGGAAGAAATGCTAATTCTCTCATATAGAATTAGCTCAGCTGGCGGCCCAAGAGCAATTTCCCTGATAGTTCCACAAGCCAAGCCAATTATCTCAGACACAATCTGAATGGCCTCTGAAGGTCTTAAGATTGGATTTCCTGTTGAGGAAGGAAGGTACTAGTCCTCCGTTACGGGGCCTTCGCTGCTGTAAGAAACCTCCAGCAGCACAAGCTTCAGGGCACTGAAAGAGCTAGAAGGACAGGAGCAGGGAGCAACCCTAGGAACTGTTCAGGGGCAATCTACCAGCTGAAGAATCCAGTGTTTCACCAGGAATTCAACTTAGCACTGAGCACAAAGGTTTCACCTGGGAGGTATAAGGGGTGCAAATAATTTATTAACATTTAGTGACTGTCTCTTACATACCTGAGTCGGAAGTCATTACTAACACCCTCAGCTCTGCCACAAATGAGCATATGCCCCCAACAAAGCGCTATGTTCAATGTCTATCCTAAAAACGCTGGTGTGAGTTTAAACCCAAAACCAGACTGATTATGGGACAATTTAAACAACTGCAAGAAATTTTAAACTAAAGGGCAGAAAAGGTTAGGTTTCCATACAGCTACTGGGAATTGTTTTTATTGAAGAGGAAAAAAACACTTTCACTAGAAAAGCCATTATATCCTTCTACATGATTATACTGCTCAGAAGGGAGATCAAGGTAGGGAGGCATACAAGTTGTAAAGGGTAGAAAATGAATGCAAACTTGGAAGACAGAACTCTTCCCAGGAGCAGGGAGATGCCTGCAGTCAGGTTTCCTGGGTACCTAGTGGGCAGGGAAGATCTGGAAGAGATCCATCTGGGACAGAGTTAGAGAATATTGCCCACAGCTACCATGATGTTGCCCCACATCACAACCCCCACTCACCCCTTTGGTAGTGGAAGCCCCCCCACTTAGTTAATCCACAATCAGGCAGCCAGAACACTCCCCTGAAAAGCTAGTTTGGCTTCCTGAGCAGCCAGCCCTTCGGCAGCAAGGTTTGTAAGGTCTCAAGGCTGGCACTGCTGTGGATCACCCTCAGTCCACCGCACAGGGCGATGCTCATCAACAGGCCACCAATCACACCACTGGCAATTCCTACCCCCACAGCTATGGTCACCTTCTTTTTCCACAGTGGGCGCTGAGGTCTGGAATAGTTGTCCAGATTCACTTCCAGGCCCTCATCTACTAACTTCTGATCCTCAGTAAGGGACTGATGGAAATTCAGGTTCACCAAGTTAGGAGGAAGGACCCTCAGCCCAAAATAGAGCCTCTTGACAAGTCTCAAGTTTTTTAACAGCTGCACATCACACCGGTAGGTCCCAGAGTCATACTCCTGAGCGGACTGAAACTTTATAAAGTGGGAACTGGCTCGGAAGGGTTTGAAGACTTCATCATCAGTTGAGATGATACCCCGAGCAAGTCTCCAGGTGAATCGGAAAGCTTCCTGTCCAACCTCCAGGATGTCTGAACTCAGACAGCTCAGCTTAAATTCCTGTCCTATGAGAACGGTGAAATGGAGCATTCCACAGATCCAGTTGGTCAGACATTCCAAGCGCTGAGACTTACACTTCCTTCTCACTCCATCAGGGCCCACCTCACAGACGGTCTCCTCCTTATAGCCAAGGCCACAGGTGACAGTACAGGTTGTGGCATTGACAATAACTTTCCCCACAGCTTCTTGCAGTTTCTCAGGAATGGCCAGTGTTTTAGGTAAAGTCACCACCAAAGGTAGATAGAAGGCCAACACCAGGTTTCCAAGGATGAAACTAGTGGCCAAAGTCTTCATGTCTTAGTAGGCATTTCACCACCCTCAGCCAACACCCGACGTGTTCCAGCTAAATCCTCCACAACATAATTTAATTCCTTCGACATGAGATAGTCTTCGAAGTCAAAAGATATGATGCATGCATTGTCAATAAAACAATACAACTTAATAAAAGTCCAGTCCTTATTAACAGGTGAGGCCACGTGGCAGAAAAAATGTCACAAGGTTGCTGCTTTACTATAACTGCTTGTTAACGACCACCTTACCAGTCTTCATTCTTTTCCCATCCTTTTAATGAATTTAAATCCACCTCTTGGGAAACAAAGATGAAAAGACTTCAGAAGCTGAAGTGAATTTCCAAATTACCTCAATGCACAGTAAAGCTGTACCATTCCTCACCCTCTCCCCTCCCCTCCAAATTGTAGGATCTGAATTCAAAGGTTTCAAAATACCAGCTAAATCTGCCCAAATAAGAAATCAAATACCAAGTCTAAAAAAAACAAGAGAGGATTAACTTGAATTAAGTTATTATTAACTTTAAATGCTCCTAAACCTTCTATAAAAAGGATTAAGAACTCTGGACTGAGAGGCAAGTGATTTACCCTTCCTGAATTTGTTTCCTCCTTTGTAAATTAAGACCTCCTTGCCTATTTCAGGAAGGTCACTTTGAGCATCAAAAGTGATAAACTGTACATGAAAACACTTTGTAAAGTGTGTAAGGAATTTTAAAAAGAAATGAAAATTCATGAAGGCAAGGGCCAAACGGGCTTTTAGAATCAATGCTTAGCAGCAAGACAGGCGATGTTAAATGCAGCGCCTCTCCCACTTCTAGGCACTCTTCCTTCCTAAGGGTACCGAAGATATATTCTGGGGGAGAGGATACATAATTCTTCCTCTCAGCCCAGTCCCCCCACCCCATAGAATGAGGAAGGAGCTCATCATTCACTTGGGTCAAAGTTGCTATGAAACAGCTATGATGTCAAAAAAGATTCTCAGTCACATAACAGGATTAATAAGTAGACACTCAGATTTGGAGATGATTAAAATCAAAGACTTAAATAGACTTTATGAAACATCTTATTCTTTAGGAGACAATAAGTATTCGATGGATTTCAAGGCTATTTAATCTAGGGAGAAAAAGTGCTAATGAAGAGGAATTTATCTGTACTTACACTTTAAGAAAGGTCCTTGGAAGGCAGGAACTTCCTGGCAAGAGTTTTTGTTAAGCTCCACAATGTCTCCTAGCACTGAGGCCTCTACAGAGTAGTTATACACTTACTGAGCTAAGGAATTGGAAGAGAGGTCATTCCTACATGATCCTTTTTTCACTAACTTTTTGCTTGAATTGTTTATTTATAATCTTGTCCAAAGGCAGGTATGTGGACTACCTGGCCACCCCTTAGCCCTTCCAGCTGTTATTTCTACACGGAGAAGATCTAATAGCAACAAAGTAAGCTGCATTTTCTGTTGTACAGAGTGAAGTGGCCGGTGACTTTCAGAAGTGATCAGTGTCTACAAACACACACCTACACCTGTTCTTTAATAAACATCAGATTTTATTTACAAAGCATTAAAGCTTCAGCAAGAAGTACCCAAGGCTAAGTCTCATCTCGTACAAAACTACAGAACATTAGAAAACAAAACACTGGGGGGTGGGCAGGTGACAAAAGGGAAAAAGAGAATATGCATATATTGTACAAATCAAGAAAATCAAACTGAAACAGACAGAAGGTTTTAGGAGCTGAAAAAAATTCCAAAAGCATAAATAATTATTAGGAGCTGCTGCCAGAGACACTCTGACAGGGCTGAAGTTGATTTTCTCAGTAGCCGGTTTAGGAGGTGGACAGAGCTTGAACATCCAAATGCTCAGGCAGAGGACACCCAGCTACTCTGCATGTGGAAATAAGGCAGAAACCTCTTGTATCACACAGTTTGCATACTACTGCACTGTACAGTACAAAGAGAAACAAAATGGAAATAATGTCTGCAAAACAAAAACATGTCTAGTGACCCACCTACCAATCTCAACCACTGGTCTAATATGAAATAGGAAATGAAATTCACAAAATGAGCATCTGAGGAAAAAAGTAGTGGCATCTAAAAATATAGACATTTTGCCACTGACTCAGGGAGAGCTCTTGCTTCAACTACTGAACGTTTTGGTTCTAAAGATGGAATGGAAGAGGCTCTTGTTGATGTGTTCTACTTTGATTTCTATGCTAAAATCCAAAAGGTAATCACCTCGTTTGGCTACCTATCGGAGCAACCACCAACTGACAGAGATTTCCCAACAAGCACAGTGTTTAACTCTCCTTTGAAAATACTGTGAAAATGATGATCCAGATTAAGCACTTCCAGTCAGCTCAAAGCTCTACTCAAGAGAGGCTGGAGAGGCCCCTCCACACCTGGTTTCTTCACTCTGGATTTTCAGAGAATTTCAAACACCTAGTGTACACATCCATTCAATTTGCTACTTTTTATACAAAGAACAGCAAAAGCAAAAATTAAATTTTTTTTAAAAAAGCTAAGCAACCTTTCACAGAAAGGAAGTGACTGGAAACATGTAGGAAGGAAAAGGGGTGTGGATACAAGGAGGGGAAATGCAATGACTGATGGGAAGGACAGATGTCCACAAGCAATGATAAAAAAAAAAGGTTCTTAGATTTTTTTATTTGAACTGTGTTGTCATTGCTTTGATTTTGGACAGTTTTATTTTAGTCCTTGCATAGATTCCCCCACCCCCAGTAAAAAAGAAGCCTGCTGAGAGACACCTCGGTTTGTTTCTGGCTCTGGAAGCCATTACAGGTAAAGCAATATAAACTACTGATGATTCTCTGCTGGAGACAAATGAACTAGCTATCTTCAAAAACCATGATTAATGAGAATGAACCAATACTGGAGGGAAACATGCAATGAAAAGAATACAAAGAAAAACCTGACCCTCTTATAGCTCAACTTCTGGAGCAAAATGTTACAGTATGTGAAAAAACAGGGGGCCTTTCTTATCTTTCTTTCCTTTTGGAAAATCTGAAATCTTTCCAGCACTTTCTTTTCTGCCCATCTTTGTAATACAATATGGAAATATAGGAGGTATCTGGTGAGTGGGTAAGTTTAAAAATGGAAGAAAGAATGTGCAACAGAAGTTTTTCTAGGATACAGGCAGCAAAATTTCAGATAGGAACAAGTCACTCAAGGACGTGCACTCTGGAGGGAAGGCAAGTAGGAGATAGGAAATGACAGGCCGAAATGATGCTGGGTACAGTAAAGACAGACAAGCAAAACAGGAATCTCTTCTCCAGCAACATAACAAGCATTAAAGTTTAAATGAGTCAAAACTCCTGTTTGATGTCTTCACAAATCCTCATTCCTGAGAGCCTATTTGGACTTATGCTTGAAAGGGAAGGGGACATATATTCTTCTTCCTTAATTCAATTCTTCATTCAAACATAAAATTCACTCACTCCTTCCACCTCCTGGGCGGAAGACAGAGGCCTTTGTTTTAAATTAAAGTCAATCTCAAATGACTGACCACAGTGTCCAGAGGCCACACGATGGCAAAGTAGGGAAGAACAAAGAACTTCAAGGGCCTTCATAACAGTTCTGAGATCGCTCCCCCTGCTAAAGAGATGAGACATAAAAAGATTTCTTTTAGCATCAACTTAGACCAGTTACTTTCAAGAACACAAATACAGATGCTGGATGATGCATTACAAGCACACATGGGCTAAGAACTTCCCCCCTTTAAGTTAAAACCAACTCCAACTCCCAATTACTCTTTACTGAAGCAACAAATAATCCAAACCCCACCCCCTCCCTCAGTACTTTTCTCAGCACTGCCCCAAAGGGAGAAAAAAAGGCAAAATGACCAGACTTCTACACATTTTCCAAGCTTCTAACCATTCTCCAAGGTGTTAACATATAATGCTTCACATTCCAAAAAGTGCAGTAAGTAGAGGAAAGGAAATTCTAGGGTACTACTGCCTCTTTCAATCTTTCATATACTACACTAATTCGCCACTAAATGATTAACGGTGAGCAACAAACCCTTTTCCAAACACCCTTGTTTCTTAAATGATACTCTCAGCTCCTTAGAATCCCAAATATGGTGAAATGTTAGTGAAAACTACTGTCGGCATTTCTATGCGCCAACAACTGATCAATAAATAAAATCCTAAATAGTAAAATCAAATGAACACTTCCCTGATTACTCCATAGAAGCTGTTCAATCTCTGAGGGACATCCTTAAATGGGTTGCTGTGAAATATTAACTAGGAAGTGTAAAAAGAGAACAAGGTGAAGAAAGTCCTCCCAGTGTCATCTGGAATGGGGAAGAACATTCCACTTGAAGGTAAAATGGTTCAAAATAATTGCCCAAGTTGTAGAAAAAAAAAAGTACCCATTTATAAACCTTGCTTTTAACCTGATTTTAAATAAGTTCAAGCACAGATGAAAACTGGCAATAAAAATAAATTCCATTTTGCCTGAGAAGAGACTGAAATTATGAGACACAAACTCTCCTGGATGCTACATGTTAAAAGTCAAATTTAAACTTTATACAGTTCAGCAAGATAAAAAGTATATTTAAGCATCTGTTTTTCAGATCTTTCAACATAAAATGTAATAATTAACTTCTTGAATTGATTTTTTTTTTAAATCGTGAAATAAAAGAATCTACTCCACAGGACTCAGTAACAGGCCTTTAACACTTTAAGGCTAGTTTCTCTGATTGTTTCCACAGGTACTCTGACCAATCTAGTTTAACAGTTTAAAAATAGACAACATTGGGCTTCCCTGGTGGCGCAGTAGTTGGGAGTCTGCTTGCCAATGCGGGGGACACGGGTACGTGCCCCGGTCCAGGGGGATCCCACGTGCCGCAGAGCGGCTGGACCCGTGAGCCATGGCCTCTGGGCCTGCGCGTCCAGAGCCTGTGCTCCGCAACGGGAGAGACCACAACAGTGAGAGGCCCACGTACCGCAAAAAAAAAAAAAAAAAGACTTTTCTTCTCTCCATTTCCATTTTGCCCTCAGGTTCAAACCATTTTCTCAATTACAGCTTTATAGTAAGACTAACATTTTGATCATTAAAAAGTCATGCATATTCAAAAGGATATGTGTACAATTTAAAAGCTTAAACTCCATTCTGCTCAAAAAACCCCAGGTGCACTCCTTCTAGAACACTTCCATGTATATGGAAGCTCTTTCACATACAAAACCAACATACCTTATACCTACAATGTATGAGAGTCCTCGATCCTCATACCTTCATCAGATATCATCTAGTTAGGATGATAATAGCTGTTCTAAAAGAAGAGTTGACTTCTGAGATGAGATGCTATATAAACTAGAAATGATTTAGATATTTTAAGCCTAACTTATGAGGAAAAAGTGGCTTGCGTTAATAATGGGCACTCAAGATGACTTAATGAGCTACATTATTATACTGATTATCTAAGGTCAGTTAATGTTTTTTCTTTATCCCTCTCTTTCCTGTGAAGAGACCAAAAACAAAGCTTGTTGAGGCATCAGGCAACAAACCAATACCAGAGCAAGCAAGTCTGTGAGCAAGATAAGATACAGAGAAACAGCAACAAAGCAGAAGATCCCCAGGCTACTTAAAAATCTGCCCCAAGTATTATTTAGCCGCAACGTGACAGAAATCTCCAGTAATATAAAATTAAGAAAAATTCAGCTCATGGTAAACAGCTGTTATTGGTACCTCCCCAAAGCAGCCAAGCCAGGGTGGCTTAAGAAAACATTTAATTTTCAAACATTACCTTAGTCATCTAATAAGACCACACAGAATGAGAATACCCAACTAGCCATCTAAAAATATGATTTTAGCAGGAATTCATAAATTAGTCTTTGAGAGACTGATCATTTTTCAAAAAGCGGGGGGGAAGCCCCTACCAATCATTTAAAACAATCAGATTCAGCAAGTGAACAGAATATGGTTCAGAGGCCCAGGGTGGGGGGCCAGCACCAGGAGGGCAGTGGTGCAGCCAAAGGCAGGGAAATCAGCGCAGGGCCTGTGGGCCCTCAGAAGTGGCACCTCTGCTCAGTCTGGCGTTCGCCACCCTCAACAGACCCAGGTGCCACCACCATTCCCTTCATGCCCACCATCCCACAAGGCCTTTAGACCACATATGCGACAGATCACAACTTTGTCACACTTGCTACCAATGGTGTTTACTGCCAAGGAGCCCTACTTCTAGGGCAATCTTTGAGCGGTCACAGGGCAACCGGGACACTGGTGGCTCTGCTCACATCTCAAGTTTCGATCCTGAGGACTGTCCTCTGGAGAGTATCTAATAAGGGTAACCAGAGGGAATCTGACAGATGGTGCTATGTTGATCTGGACTTTCTGAAAAGTCCCCAGCTCAGGGTTACCCTTAAGCTTCACTGATGGGTCCTCCCTCATCACAGAAAGTGTGTCTTCGTGGATGTGGGTCCACTGGTACTGTTCAATACTGATGAGCTGTTTGATAGGGAAGAATTTTCTACAGCCTCAGATTCCAGATGGCTAGATTACTTCTACTGGCAGTCTATGTGTCTTCCAACTGTCGCCTGAAATGCATAATCTCCTGTTGCAACATGCAACAGACTGTAGCAGCTCTGTCAGGCCTATCAGGGCTTACTGAACAGGTTTCTTCAGTAACTGATAAATTGCAGATATTAACAAACAGTTGGCATTTACCTAACTTGAGCAGTAGCCTACACCTACAATCTGCCTTCGAATGAACTGGCTCTAATGCAAAAGCAGGGCATTTGCGGGGAGGTCCACAAAGCACTGAATCTATAAATACACTCATCAGACTGAACTAATCTTTGAAGATGGTTCAGCCTCAGCCACTGAGGATCAAGATTCATTTCTTAATATCTGGTGGAAAATCCACAATGACAGCATGCTGCTTTTTATTGAAACTCTCCAAGGTGTGGAAGAACATGAGACATAAGAGTTTTTATTACCTCAGAGGCCTAGGGGAGCCATGCGAAAATGAACAGCATGTGTCAGCCAGCCTCTGCCTGCTCTGGGCCCTCCAAGCTGAAAATGGTATTGGATGAAGCGCCACCCTCGCCCAAAGAAACCCACACAAAAGGTATGACAGGTTGCCCTGAAACTGAGACTTCTAACGGCGCGCTATATGATACTCAGTTTCAGCACTCTCCCCCAGACTCACAGCCTTCATAAAGACCCAAACCACACTGCAGCTAGTGGCTAAAAGCCCTTCTGAAGAAGTGTCAGGACTAAACCACAATGCCTTTTTTGAGGTTTTTTAATGATCCTGCTCCTCAGCACACTCGGGAGTTTGATCTGGCCATTGCAGTTTTGGAGATTTCCATTCAGGAAAAGGCCAAGGAACCAAGGCAAGAGAAGAAGAAAATGGGAAGAAGGAAGTACAGATTACACGGGGAAGTATGCAACGCAGACAACCATGAGAAGTTGGTAAAATGCTTGCAGTAATCTAGACAGTTGTTTTGTCTGTGTGTTATCAGAAAGCGTATCATCACCCTGGCCTTGTTATGTAAAAATCTCCTCTAGTCCTTTCAAACGTGAAGCCGTTAAAATAGCTGCCTCCATTTAAGGCTGACCAACTCAAGTCCCTGATAACAATAATGAAGAAAATAAAAATCCAGTCTGAAGCACCCTGCTGTTTCAAGACACAAGTTCTAGCCTTTAACGAGGTCGGTACCTTTTTTAACCTTGTCAGCCCAGTGAGTGGGAATAAACTTCTAATAGGCCATTGATAATGATATCCAGTCTTGCTAGAAGGAGTTTTGAAATGCTGACATGTACAAACACTATGTATTTTACACATAGATCAAAATTTCAATGCAGTATTTTGAAAACTTCAGGGAATAAAAAGGCCCATTCCTTTACGGCTAAGTAAACTTTCTAACATCTCATTTAGATGTTTTTGAAGCATAGCTAAAAAATACCACTGCTGTTATACTCTAAGCCAATTTGAGAAATGCCAAAAATATTTAGTAACTCTTAGTGACCATATCAGCTATAATTAAAAGTTGAAATCACTGTATTATAGAGAGAAAACTTCAAATGGTTTATTTGCCATACACTTAGTATTAAAAAGCAAATGATTAATTACATATAGATTCTGAAGATGCTGGGAAAGTATGTCTTAGAGTATTTCAATTAATTCAATATGTTTGCCTACATTTGAAATCACCCTGAAGCATTTCAGCTCTTGGGGCCAGGGAAATCTATTTGAACTTTAAATTGTTTCTTCTATAGTGGCATCCACTTATGCAAGAAGTGGGTTATGGAAGGATGTTTTTTATTTACATTAGTCAATTACTGACATGCAATCTTTGCTGGCAATGCCCATATAACTCTTCCAGGCTATTTTTTAAAATATACAGACATGGCCCTAAGTGGACTGAATGTGGAGGTGGTAAGTGATTATCAGTGGAGTACCATAAATATTGTTGCTGGGAAAAAAAATGCTAGTGTTCCAATGGTATGGTGTTGGACTATGAAAGTCTAAATCTAGTGAACTTGAGGGGGAATACTCAAATTGATGAGTAATTGAGTCTGTTTCAGCTTCTCTGCAGAAGCAAATTCATCTTCACAATGATTAACTGGCTTAAGGAACTCTGTTTTGCATATCATCACATTTGGATTAACACAATTAAAATTTTAAAGTGGGGAAAGAAAAAACCTAAACACAAACACTGATATTTTGTTAGTCCTGCCTCTGAATCTACTGACCTAGCCACAGAAAACGGAGAGTAATGTATTAACTAAAGCAGTGCCTAAATATAAAACATAACAAAAAGTTTCCAAAACCCAACAATATTTGAGCAGAAATGAACTTGAGTTTGCTTTCTATTTTCCAAACAAAAGACCATTTAGCCTAGATTCACAAGTATTTGACTGGAAATTGAAACTGTTCTCCATCCTCCAATAAAAATCCCTCAATTATATAGAAGTGAGAAAACAGTAAGTTTCAAGAGGCTTAGGTGTTAAGAAGCTACAAAGTTTGTCCTTTTGGTAATCTCCTGTTTGAAAAAACAAAACACCTCATCTTCTTCCTTAACATGATGGTACTACTAACAACTCCATCATTGCTTCTAGACTACTGAAAGAGAGAAAAACACCACCTCTGGGATTTGAAGAGAGAGAAAAAAGATGCTACAGTTAAGTAGTCAAGGGCTGTATAAAGAAGCTCTTATTTCTGGTTATCTGTCTGGATCTTTCATTTGAGACAAAACAAAAAACCTAGGAGCAAACACAGATTTAAAAAATGAATTAAACCAGGGGCTCTTACCCTTTTTCAGGTCACAGATTCCTACAGGAATCCAGTGAAATGTACAGGCATCCTCCCCCCCAAAATATTCATACAATATTTTGCATAAGACCAAGGGAATGGAGATCCCCTGAAACCTGGTTATAGACCCAAGGTTAAGAGCCACTGAATTAAGCCAAATCTGGTTTAGCGTGCCCTAGGCAGTAGTTTTAAAACTCAGAGAATATCTGCCACTGGGGAAAAGGAGGGAAGGAAGGAAAAAATGCTGCAGTTAAACGTTGTCAGGGGCTGTACAAAGCAAGGCCACGAAGCAAGCCAGACAGTGCTCCCAATGTGTCCTTACCTGTCAAGGGCTGGCTGAGCTCCGCCTGCACTTTACCCTTCGCTGATCCTTCCAGAGGTAAACCTCTGTCCCCTTTGTAGAGTTTCGGTTTAAATGGAGAATCTTTCTCTTTACCTTTTGATCCTTTAGGCCGGCCTGCTTGCTTCTTCTTGGATTTGCCATCCCCCTTCACACCCAGTAGTGGATGGACTTCTGTAAAAGGACAGATAGGCACAGAAAGAAATCCACACATCACCCCAACTGAGCATGTGCCATGCCACCTATCCATGAGCAAAGAATTCTGCTCTTGTATCTCAGGTCCACTAATATAAGAAAAGTTTGTTTTGTTTATTAATTATAAACTATAGAAGAGTGGCTATTAAATGAGAAATAGTTCCTTGGCCACATGGCCTATGTGATTCATACGAAGCCACAGCAGCTCTAAATGGAAAAGGTAGCTCAAAGACACACTGATACTTTACCACACAAGCCACAACAGGAATGCACATGTGCACACTGGCATGTGAGACCAGAAAGGGAATGGGCTTTGGTACACGACAGACCAGGGTAAGAATCCAGACTCAACCATGTAATTAAAAAGGCTCCTAGAGTCAGACTGTAAAAGTAGGTAGGAAGAATTAAGGTTCTCCAAGTCTGACTAGTACTTTACTACCTAATGAGAATCTTGGGGGAGAGGCAGGGTATTTAAACAAACTGAGCCAGATGTCAGGAGACTTAAAGTATGTCATCTTAGGCAAAGTACTGAGGGCAGAATCTCCCCATTTTATTTTATTTTTTTTTTTTTTTTAAATTTATTTAATTTAATTTATTTTTTTTTAATTTTTTTTATTTTTTTTTATTTTTGGCTGCGTTGGGTCTTTGTTGCTGTGCGCGGGCTTTCTCTAGTTGTGGCGAGCAGGGGCTACTATTGGTTGCAGAGCAGGGGTACTCTTGGTTGCGGTGTGCGGGCTTCTCATTGCGGTGGCCTATCTTGTTGTGGAGCACAGGCTCTAAGTGTGCATGCTTCAATAGTTGTGGCACGTGGGCTCAGTAGTTGTGGTGCTCAGGCTCTAGAGCACAGGCTCAGTAGTTGTGCCACACGGGCTTAATCGCTCCGCAGCATGCGGGATCTTCCCGGACCAGGGCTCGAACCCGTGTCCCCTGCATTGGCAGGCGGACTCCCAACCACTGCGCCACCAGGGAAGCCCAGAATCTCCCCATTTTAAAAGAGAAGTGAAGCAGATGAAATTATTACAAAGTTGTAAAGCACTATAAAAAAGACTCATGGGAAAATTCCTTTAAGGGAAAATCACCCAAACAGGAAATTACCAGATTGTGCTGGAGAGTGGCGTCTGTCAGGTGAGGGAGAGAAAACGTGGCTCTTACCATCATTTGGTACTCCTTGCAGTTCAATATTGGTTGTTTTGGGTTTCTTCTTAGGTGGCTGGGACCCATCTGTTGAAGACTGCCTCTTCTTCTCTGAACTAGCCCCTTCGTCCATCAAGGAGGTTTGGACTGCATCCGGTGGGGGGCCATAAGGATTTTCTTCTGGGTCTTCTACCTCAGGGGCAATGGGTAAATATAATAGAGCCTTTGAATCTTCCAGCTCTTCATCACTATTTGGAACAGGATCAGAAAAGGGATAGGAAAAAAGAGGAGAAAGTTGCTTAAACCATGAACCCTTCCTCTAGGGCAGAATCATCCAACCATAAGCAACAGGTATGGATCTAAAATTTCAAGAAAGCCAAGACAAATAAAAAGAAACCAGACAGGGGCTTTCCTGGTGGCACAGTGATTAAGAATCCGCCTACCAATGCAGGGGACACAGGTTCGAGCACTGGTCCGGGAAGATCCCACATGCCGCAGAGCAACTAAGCCCGTGTGCCACAACTACGGAGCCTGCGCTCTAGAGCCCGCGAGCCACAACTACTGAAGCCCATGCACCTAGAGCCCATGCTCCGCAACAAGAGAAGCCACCGCAATGAGAAGCCCGCGCACCACAACGAAGAGTAGCCCCCGCTCGCCGCCACTAGAGAAAGCCTGTGCGCAGCAACGAAGACCCAACGCAGCCATAAATAAATAAATTTTTAAAAAAGGAAATCAGACAACACGATTAATAAAATCAGTAGTAAAAATAAATGGCATAAACAAATTATTTCACTTTCTTAAAATTTTTCTATCAAGGGAGAAGGGAAGGGATTTCTTGCGCACCAAAAGAGTTATCTCTTTGAGGTCAAAGGCAGATGGGCCTGAAGGAAGAGCCGGGGAACTGAGCAGTACAACCAGAGACTGAGGAGGAGGAGCACCCCAGGCCCAGCCTTCAGCGGCAGCTCACCTGCTACAGAAGGCGGCAATAGGGTCCACACTGGTGACATCCACTTCCTCATCCTCTGCAGCATCAGCCCCTGCAGGACAAAAACACAGCAGAGGTGTGAGAAGAAGTAGAAAACTGCTTTTTACATATAGCTTATGGTTTTCATAAACTGAAATCCAGGAGAAACAAAGGAGGAAAACCAAACAGTTCGTTTTACTTAGTCGTTCTGCAAATATTTACTGAATTTCCACCACATGCTAGGCACTGGGAATAAAGCAATGCCCCAGAAAGTTGGGAACGGTTCTTCAGTAAAAATTTTAGAAGTCTAATTGGGGAGACACATACACACAGATAATTTCAGTCCCATACAGTAAGTGCTACAGTAAAGGTATGTGCAATGTGCCAAGGAGATGGGAAGGAGAAACAACTTCTGCAGAAGTTTGGGAAGGCTTCGTACAACACAGTCCAATAACACTAATACAATCCAGAATATACTGCAGCCCTGACGGTCTTTCTAAAACACAGGAGGCATGTAAGTTATCTAATATCGCAAAAGTGAGGACCAGCACTTTCAAGCTGGAGAGAACTAATTTCAATCCCAATTCCCCGATTCCTGACACCATCAAGTGGCCCAGCAGTCAATGACCCGTGGCATTAATTACTCAAGCTGACAGTGCCAACTGGGCACATTAAGCATTCATACACACAAACCCCTGCCAGACGCAAAGCCCTGTGTTTAGACAACGATGGGGCTATAAAGTGAAATCTTTATTCTCAAGTAACTTCCTATCTAGAAGTTCAGAAGCCAAGAGATAAAAATAACAATGATCACGACCATAATCATAGTAGAAGAGAACATCTGAATGCTCATTATGGCCTAGACACTATAGTGAGCCCTTTACATGAGTTATCTCATTTATTCCCCACAACCCTAAAAGGCAGGTACTACTGTTATCCTTATTTTACAGAAAAGGAAGTTTAGGTTTAAAGAATAAGTATTCTGCCCAAGGCAGTCTGACTCCAGAGCTCATGCTCTTTACCTTCATCTTACTGACAAAGGAGTGACAATACCCAAACAGCAGCTGAGCACCCAGCGTGTGTGGGTGGCTTTGTTAGGTGCCCCATGCATATCCTCATTTAATCATCTGCAATTAGTCAGGAAATACAAAGTGAAACATTAAGAGAGCTGCTTGAGCCCTAGTAACGCCCATGTAAGCCCTGAGTCAATGCCTTACAAATAAATGTTCTAAAAACACTGTCAAAACTGTGTAAGCTTAGGGAAAAAAAATTAGACTAAGTGCTGAAATGAATTTTCAACACAAATTAAGAATGAGTACTGAGTAAAACAATCATTTTTCCTTTGGGAAATACTACCTGCAATTGAGAAATATTACCTGTCTGTTCAGGCTCACTCTTATCTTCATCTTCAATATCAAACTCTGATTCCCTTTCTTCATATTCTACATTTTCATCCAATTCTTTGAAGTCTGGCGCAAATGCACTCCAATTTTCCTATGCCACAAACAAAACATACTACTTAACCGTATGAGAAAGCAGCGGTCTGTAACCTAGACATTAATGATACAAATAAAAGGATTGAGATCAAATTTGGCAGATAATAAAAATTAATGATATAAATAAAAGGATTGAGATCAAATTTGGCAGATAATAAAAATTAGGTATCTACAGTTTTATTATCTTAAGGCGTTTCCTACCTTAAACATTCCATGTTATTAACTGTAGTTCTTTCATAAATAACTGCCTTCTTTAATCTTTTTAAGATGTAATTCTGAGGTAAAATGTTAAGTTTTCTTCTGAGTACACTGATTACAAATATAATTAAAGGTGTTCAAACTAAAACCAAGATGTAAAACAGAAGCTAACTGAGCTGAAAATAAGAAAAGCACAAGAAAACTCTATCTCAGATGAGCAACAGAAAAACGTACCAGGAAGTACACTAGATTTTCTCCCTGAAAACAGAGCTGGTAAATTGACTTTGGACCAAGACCTTACCATTAAAATAAAGCAAAACTAGATGCACTGAACTATTTAATTAGAAGAATCATATGGAAAAGAAAGTATATAAGGTAATTTTGGGCTTTACTATTTGTAAAGTTCTTTGATAAAAGGAAAGGGTATCTAGCTTCAAAGCAGTTAAACCAGAAAAATACTTACTACTTGATTTTGTGCCCAGATAGATACCACTCCACTAGAAATGGATGCTATGATGGGTCGAACAGGATGCCACTAAATTTTAATGAAGCAAAGAAAAATCAATTCTGAGGATGAATCCAAGATTTTCTGTATTACATAAGTAACAACAGCAACCTCTCTTCCTACTCACAGCTACATCCAAGAGGAGTTCTCCTCTTGTCCCATGGAGAATCTTCACCAGGTTACCGATACTCTTCTCCCAGATGTACAGGGCATGCTGCCGGGCTGACCCTGCGACTATGTATTCCCCATCCCCAGAGAAACAACATTTCTTCCATGGGGTCCTGAAGGACAAAGAAAGTACCCAAATAGAACCGGAACCTGACCCCAGGCCATGAATTAGCACATAGGTTGATACATACCTATTCACCAAGTCCTGCAATTTCTGCATGGGTTCAGGCTCTCCGTCTCTTCCACAGGTTAAGATTTCTCTACCATCATAAACTCTGATTATTCGATCTGCTGTGTTAATTAAAAAGCAACTACAGAAAGGATAAAACAATATCAACACCAGAGGTCAGAATCTGTTCCTGTTAACATTTTCCATGGCTACCAGTTACTTAGAACAGTACCATAAGACAACTAACAAATCAGGGAGAGACTGAGTGAAAATCTAAGTAATAGACTAGACTACTTATATATCTACTTGTCACCTTCCAAGCTAAAATATAGTGTGAAGTGAGAAAACGCTTTACTTCCCTTCCTGTGTAATCCCTGAACCCTAGATGCACAAACTAATCAGCAGTATTTGACTAAAATCCAAAACCTCTAAATTGAAACCAGTTTCCCGAATTCACAAGCTTACAGTTAAATATTATATAAATACTTCATTCCTCTGGCCTGCTTTATATACAATATATTCTTAATGAGTTAATAAACTAAATATATCATTCTGGATTGCCCAAATTTTACTGTGATAACACTGAATGTTGGAAACCTGTCTAAAATACAAGTTATTTTACCACTTTCTTACAGACTTCACTAACTGTCTTCAAGAGAATTTGAACATGAATGTCCTCTAAGTATGTATGGTGGTTCCCATACAAAATAGGATGACTGTTACTTCTCTTACTGACAACCTATTTTCTTCTTGTTTCTGTTGATACATAAATCTACTTCTAGCTGGGTAATCAAACTTATCAGAAAAACATCTGAAATTAAAAGGGTAAATAAATAGGTTTTATGTAAGTAAAGTGCATATTCATTTACTATGTGAATTTGTGATATCAATTCTGATTTTAATATAAAGCTCATCTTTACCCAGTGCTTACCATATGCCAGACATTTTGGTTCTATGCACAGACCACTCAGACATCTTGTCTGTAAAGGAACTGCCTGTTAACCTCCCGATAAGATGTGACTGCTGGCTCAAAGCAGTAAATCTTATAAACTTAAGAACCAGATAGTGACAGTTTCTATAACTATTTTCTAAGTAAACTTTAAAAAAAATTAAGTATAATATACACAAAAACTGTGAATCTCAATGTATTTTTGCATTCTACTCACTTTTTAAACTGTCTCTAAAAAGACAGGTCTCACTTACCTGCCCTTCCGAGCAAACTCTATTGACTTAATGGCTGTGGTATTGCTTGTTCCAGTTGTTACTCTGAAGGAAGCAACAAGATCCTGAGAATCTGTTTTTAGGACCAAGATCTAAAGTTTAAAAGAGAAAAATAATAAGTATTCTGATAACTTACAGTAATTAGATTTGACTTCTGTTTCTAAAACTGGGCAAAGACTGGGTGAAAATTTAATATAAATATCTCTATTCCCATGTATTCAATCAACTGCTATTGCCTTTTACCTCTTCAATTAAAGGACACTGTCTTAACCTATTGTTAAAAGATAATGTTTAACATTATCCAGAGTCAAAAAGTAGAAGCAACCCAAGTATCCATCAACAGATAAACAAAATGTGACACATACATACAATGGAATATTATTCAGACTTGAAAAGGAAATTCTGACACATGCTACAACATGAATGAATCTTAAGGACATTATGCTAAGTGAAGTAAGCCTGTCACAAAAAAAAACAAATACTGGATGAGTCCACTTACACAGGTACTAGAATAGCCAAATTCATAAAGATAGAAGGTAGAATTATGGTTTCCAAGGAGTGAAAGGGAGTAGGAAATAGCAAGTTATTATTTAGTAAGTACAAGGTGAGTGCAAGATGAAAAGAGCTCTGGAGATAAACGATGGTGATGACTGCATGACAATGTGAATGTACTTTACACCACTGAACTGTACACTTAAGAATGGTTAAGATGGTAAATTTCATTAAGTGCATTTTACCACAATAAAAAAAACCCGGCCACTCTCTAAAGCAGCCATGAAACTGTACTAGCCCATAAGTCCCAGTCAAAAAAAAAAAAAAAATCAAAGTGCACTGGAACTCAAACTCTAATAAGCTTGAAAAGGACCCTAAAGCTCACCTAATCCAACTTCTTACTACACAAAACTATAGATTAAGCTAGCCTAAATTATACAATATTTGCAGACCAAGATATCAGACATTTTATCAGCAGTATTCCATTGATGATATGATTTTTAAATTTTATAATTTAGTAATGGCCTTTCATTACTAGCATCCAGTGAAGGCTCCCCATCCTTCTCTAGGTCAAATAACCTCTGACTGCTCTAAATCCAAAGAACAGAAATTATTAAGGCATGAGAGAAAAACAGGCTATATTTACCACAGGCAGGAGGCATGCTTAGTCAAGGGATAAAAGAAATTTCAAAGAAAGAACAAGCAAACATGAAATGAGCCAATGCACAGGGTGACTGATGCATATTTCACCAGCTTCTAAGCTTCTACGCTTACCTTGCCTTTTGCATTTCCTGTATAGATATATTCTCCTCGCCTATCAAAAGATGCAACCACGTTCAAATCGGAGTCATCGTCTACGGGCAGAACAACATGTTTGGAATCTGAAAGGGTCAACATGACAGGAGCAGATTTCATGGGACACACGAGAACCTTGTTCCTGTTTAAAAATATGAATAGTACATTGGCTGTTGCTATGATATCAGAAGGCTGACTCTCTGCTCTTTTCTGTAATTCCTATCTACTACCTCATCAACTCTCCCAGCCCAAGCATATTTAAAATAGTGAAAAAGCCTAAACTCTAAATTCCTAATAATAGGGAAATGACTGAGTCAAGTTGTGAGATCTTACCTTCACAAGATATAATTATTAAAAATAAATATGAAGATGTAGCAAACTGGTAAAATATGTATGAAATAAAGTGAAAGGCAAGATACCAATTAAAACTATGTAAAAATACATATTTATGTACATCTAACAGACAAATGCTTTGTGAGCTGTGAGTTGTGAAGCACTGTACAATAAGCTTTATACTTAAAGAGAACTTGACTAAAAGAAAACCTAGAGAAATGAAAATAGTTATATCTCAGTAATAGAATGATGGGTAACTCTTTTTCTTAAATATAGTTTTCATAATGAACCGTTTCCCCTGCTAAAGAAATTCAAATTGGAGGAAAACCCCAGGTAAAGAACAGTTATTATACTTATTTCTACCTTTGCCCATTTCTGAAGTCTTAATTAATATAGGCCAGTTTTTAACTATATACTACAACAGCCTCTTTAAAATCTATTCACTAGATCCAGATAATCTGGAAAGACTATTTTACATAGAAGAGGTTTGAAGAGATGTGGGCTTTTGCATCCTAAAACCTTAAACTGAAATTGTCATGAGCCTGGAGATAGAATTAGACCCACCCCAGGAGAGAATAGCACATATTAAACATACTGATCTCGCGGATGATACTGGACTTTTAAGATGGGTGAAGGGAATCGAAACCTCTGGTCGCAGTCGCCTGAAAGGACATCCCACTGTGACACTATGTTATCAGTGGAAGCACTCACGAGCTTATGACCATCTCGACTCCAGCTGAGAAGGAAAAAGGGTAACTTAGCACATATTCTAAGTTAAAGTGTATCATATCACCCTTATAGATAAAAAAGCATGAGTCACACTTATTGCCCTAACTGCATGGGTCACCAACGTTTCTTCTTCTTTATTTTTTAAACATATACTCAAATCCACAACAAGCTTTCCTAACTAAGCAATAAAAAAGAATGTTTTCATGACATCTTCATATCTAGTAATAGAAGCTCTTTTTTAACAGTTCAAGATAACAGTACAAGTGGCTCAGTGAAAAAAGGGGGACTCAAACATTTTAGAAAAGTATAAAATCAGCTGGCCCTTAAGTGTTGATTTAACAAAAAGCACAGGCTCCCCTTGGGGGGAGGGGGAGGAGTAGTTGAGCTTTCTGAAGCTGTCCCAGAAGTAGCACTGTCATAGTATAAGTGAACCAGTACAGATAGGTATCTGTTATTTAAAATGATTAAGAAAAGAATTAAGGAATTAATTCCTCCTGCTAAGTACAGTTAAACATCCTAACATTATATAGAAAACAAACATAAAAAGGTAAAGAGAAGACAGACTGTCTAAGGACTATAGGATATAAGGAACGACACAGCGGTGAGGTCCTTAGATTTTCTTTTTGCCTCATATATCCTGGACTGGGTGACGGAGATGCCAACAACCCATTAGCATCAATAGGCACACACAAAAAAAGTCTCCAGAAGAGCCAAAGGACTAGGAAAGGACAATCAACAGATGCTAACACACAGATGACACAGGTGTTAGTATTACCCGACAAGGACTGCAATGCAGCCATCAGTAAAATGCTTCAACAAGCAATTACAAACATGCTTGAAACAAATGGAAAAAAAAAAAAGTCTCAGCAAAGAAATAGAAATATAGAGAAAAGAACCAAATGGGAATTTTAGAACTGAAAAATATAAAAACTGAAATAAAAAACTCGAAAGATAGGTTCACCAGCCAATGGAAAAGAGGAAGACAGAATAAAAACTTCCCAATCTGAATAGGAGAAAAAATGGAATGAAAAAAATTAACAGGTCCTCAGGGACCTGTGGGACTATAACAAAAGATCTAATATCTAATATCCATGGCATCAGAGTCCTGGAAGGAGAGAAGAAAGAGAGTAAGGCTTAAAAGTATTTGAAGAGGGCTTCCCTGGTGGCGCAGTGGTTGAGAGTCCGCCTGCCAATGCAGGGGACACGGGTTCGCGCCCCAATCCAGGAAGATCCCACATGCCGTGGAGCGGCTGGGCCCATGAGCCATGGCCGCTGAGCCTGCGCGTCCGGAGCCTGTGCTCCACAACGGGAGAGGCCACAACAGTGAGAGGCCCGTGTACCGCAAAAAAAAAAAAAAAAAAAAAAAGGAATTTGAAGAAATAATGGTTGAGAGAGGATATGGGAATATATGTATACATATAGCTGATTCACTTTGTTGTACAGCAGAAACTAACATAACACTGTAAAGCAATTATACTCCAATAAACATGAAAAAAAATAATGGTTGAAAATTTCCCAAATTTGGCAAAAGATATAAAACACAGCCTCAAGAAGCTAAGCAAACTTCAAACAGGATGAGCCCAAAGAAATCCACTCCAAGGCACAACCTTCTGAAAACTAAAGACAAAGAAAAAAATCTTGAAAGCAGAAAGAGGAATGACATGTTACCTACGGGGAATAATAATTCACACGACAGCAGATTTCACACCAGAAACCATGAAGGTCCAAAGAAAGTGACAGTTTTTCAAGTGCTGGAAGAAAAGAACTGTCATCCCTAATTCTACATCCAGAGAGACGAACTTTCAAGAACAAAGGGATAATCAAGGCATTCGTCACCAGTAGATCTACCCTAAAAGAACGGCTCAAGGTCTCTAAGCAGAAAGGAAACAATAAAAGAAGGAATCTTAGAACACCAGGAAGAAAGAATAATGAAAAGGGTTTTAAAAAATTAAATACTTTTTTCTAGAGTTTTGATGTTTGAAGCCAAAATTATAACTTATATAGGTATCAATATACATAAAGGAAATGTTTAAGACAATTATTAACAAGGGAGGGTAAAGGGATGTAAAGGGAAGGTTTGTATACTTCACTTAAACTAGTAAAATGTCAACACCAGTCGACTATGATAGGTTATGTATATACCACGTAATACCTAGCAACCATTAAAAAGCTATACAAAGAAATACACTAAAAAATACTACAGGGGCTTCCCTGGTGGAGCAGTGGTTGAGATCCCGCCTGACAATGCAGGGGACGTGGGTTCAAGCCCTGGTCTGGGAAGATCCCACATGCCACGGAGCAGCTGGGCCCGTGCACCACAACTACTGAGCCTGTGCTCTGGAGCCCTCGAGCCACAACTACTGAGACTGCGTACTACAACTACTGAAGCCCGCGCGCCTAGAGCCCGTGCTCCACAACGAAGAGTAGCCCTCGCTCGCCGCAACTCGAGAAAGCCTGCAAGCAGCAACAAAGACCCAGTGCAGCCAAAAATAAATTAAAAAAAAAAATAAAAACTACCACAGATAAATCAAAATGGAATTCTAAAAATAGTTCAAGTAACCCATAGGAAGGCAACAAAGAAAACAGAGAAATGAAAACAGAAGAGACAAACAGAAAAAGAAACCCAAAATCAGTCTTTATTCAAATTTTACAATGAAGAGGAGTTGCTGCTGAGGAACTTAGAGGATGCAACACAGTTCCACGGTTAAGAACAGAGGCTCAAGTCAGATTTACGCTCAAGCCTAGACATTACAACCTTCTAGCTGTGTGGTCTTGGGCAAGTTATACAGCCTTTCTGAGCTTCAATTTTCTCACTTATAACATGGAAATAATAGTATCTACCTGCAGACTCTTGAGAGACTTAACATTAATACATAAAAAACTCTCAGTGCAATACAGTGAGTGCTCAAAAACCATTAATTATATTAGAGACAAGATAAATGTATTCCCAGACTTGTAACTCACAGCAGAGGAAGGCAGGAGTAAACTGAGGAAGTGAATGTGGAGGGACTAAGCTCAAGTCTGCATACAAAGGACTCAGGTGCCTGTGTCTCCCACAACCTCTAGAATACTCCCAGTCAATCAGAAGATCCTTCTGGAGAATCTAAAAAAGAAGATGCCTACAGATACTGTAACTTGAGGGTTGATAACAAAAAAGCCAATGGTCCACCCAATTTCAGTAGATGATGGGAGGGTAAAAGGGTGAGATAAAGCTCACATATACTGTAATAAAAAGTCATGGATAAGTTCTTGAAATTAACAAACTAAGAAGAAGTAATATGCATAAATACTTTAGAAATATGAAGACAAATATCAAGAGAAACAAACCAAAAGAATGGAAGTACACTGGGAATGGGACATTATTGGAATATTGGGAATGGGAAGAAACAAGGGACAGCTTCTGCTGCTGTTCCCCTAAGCATTTTAGCACAATCTATGAAACAGAATGTTAGCTATATTTCCACTTTTCCTTTAAACCTTCTGCATTTTAATAACTTTTTCTTTCATAGCAGGCTTGTATTTCTGTTATAATAGAGGGAAATCTATTTTTAGAAATTAAATTATAATCAGAGGTGAAACTAACAGGGGTTTTCCCATTAAAACTAACAAAATATTCTTCAATTCCAAATTCCGTAAATTCAAGAATTAGGGATTCTCATACATCCTCACATCTGACAATACTGTTTCTTTCCAAAAAACAGACAGGTCCTTACTAAGTCTAATATCTTAGAGTCTTAAACATCATTTCGTTCTACCTATGGCCCTTATCCAGTGTGACTTAATATCTTCTGCAGCATCCCTATGAAGAGACAGCAAGCCAGACAAAGCAGGGCCAGTCCCATTGGTAAGTTCTTCCCTGGGCAGTCCATCCCATCCACAGACACCTTTGCTTGCGAGCTCAACTCTATTCTAAGGTAACATTTGTTTCCCTATAAATCCCGTTCACTACCTACCAGTCCTGCTTCTTCTCCTTAGGTCAACTTTTCTGTCTTGCACATGTCAGTTCTTTAATAGCTGAAGACAGCTATCATGCCTATCCAAAACTTCTCTTTGGTGAAATTTTCTTAGTCCCTAACATGTTCAAATACTACACAACAATTAAAATAATACATAAAGTTATATACTAAATGAGGATGAATCAAAGAAAAATGCAAAATGCATAAAACTATAGATCATAACTCTCATGTATACTTATGTATACCAAAAATTAGGGAACAGTTAAATAATTATGATGCATACATACTAAGCAATACTATATGTACACACACACACATATATCAACAGAAAAACATCCACTATATATTAAGTGGAAGAGCAAGCTAAAAAACAAAATGTATAGTATGTCTCCATTTTTTTAAAAACATACACATGTATATGTGTATGTGTATTTTTATACATGCTGAGGGAGATACAGCTATATTTTACAGAAGAAAGATATATTCCATATACTCTAATACTACTTACCTTAAGGAGTAGACAAAGAGCTTTCGTTTTTTACTCTATATACTCATATATTGTTTGAATGTTTTAAAGTTCTTAATAATCAAGTTTTGTGATAAAAAGTTTTAAAATGTTGCGGGGAGAGGGGGGAAATCTCTCATTGTTCAAACCCTTTGACCTAGCAGTAACATACTTTTGGAAGTCTACACTAATGAACAAACATAGATCAAATGCCTACTGGGCATCTTCACTAAGATATCCCCACCCATCCAACAAGTACCTGAATGCCTACTACATACCAGGTGTAATGCTACAGTAAAATGGCAGACAAGGTTCATATATCACAGCACCTACCATGTTCCAGGGAAGATACTCATAAAACAACTATTTGTAATAAAATACAACAGGAGCCACACAACCGTGATCTCAAATTCACCATTATCACCCTCAAATCTTACATTTAACATCTTCATCCAAGCAGAAAACCTGAGGATCATCTTAACTTCTCTACTTCACTTACACCTCTTATCTAATTAATGCCTAAGACCTCTTATTTCTACTATTTCTCACATCTGTACCATTCAGCTCCATTCCTACTGCACCTATTCTCATCAGCTCTAGCCTAGGCCACTGCAATCCTATCTTCATTCACTGTCCCCTTCAATCTCTTTCCCACATGCTGTTCTAGAGATCTTTCTAAAATAAAAAGCTCATCGTGTCACTTTCCTTCCTAAAATCTTTTAATGGCTTCACAGTACCTACAGGATAAAGCTCAAATTCATAGTGTGGCATACAATGTGCTCCATGAGGACCTGTTTACCTTGGCTGTTGCCATGTCACATCTCTGATACCACAATCCAGCTAATCTGAACTACCTGCAGTTCCCCATCTTACCATGCTTGTTTCAAGCTGATGTGCTTTTCCCTGTACACCTTCTGCGTGGAATACAACTGGCAAACACCTAGTCATCTTACAAGTTTGAGGTTAGAAATTACCTCATCTTTGAAGCCTCTTCTGACCACACTTCTCCAATACAATTGATCATTTCCTCCTTTGCACTTCTGCCTCCACTAAATCTCAAATATAGTTCTTATGTAGGACCTACAAAGCCTTAGTACATGTAGCTGTATGCACATGTACCTCCCCCTACCAATCAAGAATTTCTCCTTACTTGTTTTTGTGTCCCCAAAACCCTAACCCTAACCCTAACTGTAAATGCCTAAAGCAGTATCTGGTATATAATTCATGTTTAATGTTTGCTGAAGAAATGATTGTATGAGAGAGAAACTTTATGTGCAAAGACACTGACTGAACATTATGTAGCAGAGAAACAAAAATGGTTAAGTAAATTATGGTTTATCTATCAGAAGATATTTAGCCATTAAAAAAAAGTTTTTAAAGGCTACACCAGCAGCAAAATGTCTGGTCACAGTGTTAGACAGGAAAAGACCAAAATATAAAATAAAACATAGCACACTTACAAACTATGCTTTTTATTTAATTTTTAAAATTTATTTATTTATTTATATTTTTTATTTTTGGCCGTGTTGGGTATTCGTTGCTGCGCACAGGCTTTCTCTAGTTGCGCAAGTGGGGGCTACTCTTCATTGCGGTGCGCGGGCTTCTCATTGTGGTGGCTTCTCTTGTTGAGGAGCACAGGCTCTAAGTGCACAGGCTTCAGTAGTTGTGGCACATGGGTTCAGGAGTTCTGGCTCGTGGGCTCTAGAGCGCAGGCTCAGTAATTGTGGCACACGGGCTTAGCTGCTCCATGACATGTGGGATCTTCCTGGACCAGGGCTCAAGACCGTGTCCCCTGCACTGGCAGGTGGATTCTTAACCACCACGCCACCAGCGAAGTCCTATGCTTTTTAAAAATTATATATAGTAACAAATCAAAATATTTACAGTAGTAATATCAGAGTGGTAAGACTATGGGAGATAGTCTTCTATCTTCTACTTTGCCGTATTTTCCATAATTTTCTAAATTATTATTATTTTATAATAAAAATACACGTATATTTTTAGTGATAGTTCTAAAATTAGATTGTGATGATCACTGCACAACTCTGAATATATAAAAAACAACCAAATGTACATTTTAATTGGGTAGATTTTATAGCGTGTGAATTATATGTATCTTAATAAAGCTGATAAAAATATATGTAACTACTTAAATCTTTATTGCAAGAGCACAACAATAAAAAAATAAATAAAATGCAAAGGAACTGGAAAGAACCTAAGAAATCATATAGGCCAGTTCTCTCATTCTGCATATTAGAGAAAAGTTTTGGCCAAAGCCGCCAGTTCATTAGTGGCCAAAGCTAGACTGGGATTCAGGCCTCCTCCCAATCCAGTGCTTTATAATACCACTGCTGCTTATATTTTGACAAAAGGAAACATGTTAGTTTAATAAATCTAGATCTGATTAGGTGTTTTTGGTCCCAAGTTCATTTAAAAGAAGTGCTGCCCCAAAATAAAATTTTCTGAAACAGATAGTCCCTGAGAATAAGAATGAAATCAGTGGGATTTATATAATACCCGATTTCAGCTCAATATATTTGATGGGAAGCCTTACTAACTACAATTCAATGAAGGAACAGGCATGTTTGTGTTCACTAAAACTACTGTAATTCAAGAAGATGGACAAGGCTGGACACTTTGACTTCCAAGCTGCCCTCGTAACCAGGATTTTTTAATTCTAAATGAAAGGTCAATATCACAAGTATACTACAGCTGCAATCTGTAGATGTCTCATTTCAGTACTGAAATATTCTCAGAGCCTGATACAGATCCATATTACAATAAATTTCTCCCCCAAAGGTGTTGAAAGCAGCATGGATTCAAGGTCTCCATAAGCTATGAGAAATTATGTTACTAATGGCTGTATATTTAAAACTCTAAATATTAAAATTTATCTAATGAGACTGGCAACTACACAGTCACCATTCATCCCCCCGATTTAACTCATATTTAATACATTAATTTTAAAATTCCTTACCATAAGGAACAGACTGGATGAATGTGCGCACTAATTATTTTAGCAATGCCTCTTGTCAAGAAATCCCAGATGACAATTCGGCCGTCATTACAGCCAACTGCAAGCAGTGTGCCCCACCTGTTAAAGGTGCAAGTCAGGGCCATGCTGATACAGTCCAAAGTTCCATCAGCTTCCTAAAGATTAAAATGAACATAAGAATATAGACAATAATACCCAGGTATCCAAATTATTTCTTAAAGTTTCTCTAGCATCTATGATAATTCTCTTGAATTTAAGTTATGATGCATACCAAAATAATCTCTATGTGTGTTCTCATATCTATTAAACTAGCCCAAATGGAGAAATATTTATAAAAGCTAACAGAGAATTTTTAGAAACAGATGTGACCAATCCCTTGCATTACTACTATAGCTTCGTACAAATTCTCCGGAAGGCAATTAGGCAAAATAAAACAGGACTCACTAAAAGAGTCATCTTACTGGTCAAGTAATCATAGTTCTTGAAATTTATTCCAAGAAAAATAAAACAAAACCCCTGTGTAACATTAGGAAAATCAAATAAATTTATATTAATATCAAGCCATTTAAAATAATGACTACATTAAACACGCTCTAAGTATTACAAAATATTTTTACATGTAAAGCACACTTATACCATACGTGTTGATTATTACTATGCAAAAATACTGATCAAAACTATAAAAGCACACAGAAAAAAAATTTACATGAAGGTGATAGTACTGTTTGTGAAAAATGCTTCAATCAAAAGTATTTTTTTAATTTAAAGGGAAATGAACTGTAAGATTTACAACATTATGTTGAAATTTCCAGCCAACATTGCCTATCTACCTCTCCCCCTGCTCAAAATTAAACATTTAGTTCCCTTTTATAGCAAAATATCATCATATTTAATGCTTCTATTGTCAAGAAAAAAAAAAAAGATGAAAACGTAGTTTCCACTCAAACATAAAAGCCAGGGAGTTACCGTTTTCTAAAATCACAATACAATACTCTTACCTCTGGATAATTCTGCCCAAAGGACTCTGCAACAAAGCAAAGGAAGAAAGTTGATGGAACATGTGCAACATACCAGGAATCCTACAGCTCACAACTACCGCTCACAAACAGTGTACAGCAGTGGATGTTGCAAAGTGTGGATGGAGAACTGGCACCCTTTCAGGGACTCCATGAGGTCACACCTATTTTCATTATCACACCAAGATGGTATGTGCCTTTTTACTCTCATTATTTCACAAGTTTACAGATGAGTTCTCCTGAGGCTATATGAGCTGTGATACTGAAACAGTATGAATGCAGAATCCAGCCAACTTCTATTGATATTTAGGCAAAACATTAAAGAAATTTGTAAAAATGCAAAACAATGCCACTCTTCTCACTAAGTAAGTTTTGTTTCAGAAAAGTTATTTTTCATAAAAATGTTATTAATGTAAACATGTAATGGGGTGTTTTTACGGTTATTTTTATGTAACAAACTTTAAAAAATCAAACCAGTCAACTTATCTTAAAACCCAACTGCTCTCTTAAAACCTTTATTAAGAGCAGCCAACCAACAGGGTTCCCTTCCTAATAATAGTACTAAGGCTGTAACATAATCTGGTAGTTGGTTAAACACACAATTCTCTGTATTAATTTCTTAAGCAAATAACATTTTGGTACAGACATCCCTGAATACTTTTCCTATATTAAATTTGGCGTTTATACATTAGTGATAAACATTTTGAGCTATAGTACGATACTGCCTGCGTGTCAGAAGTTTAATGTTTAGAAGTTTAATGCAGTAGCAACATCTTTATCAGTATTTACTTATGTTATTACCTAAACATTTTATTAGCATGATATTTAAACTATACTCTGAGAACTACAGATCCAAGGAAGCTGTTTTACATTTAGGACATCCAAATAAGATTTCATCTAAAAAATAAGTTTACTATTTTTAGTTTTTTACCATATGATCCAGCAATTCCACTCCTAACTATATATTCGAAGAAAATGAAAATACTAACTCAAACAGATACATGCACCTTAACGTTCACAACAGCATTATTTACAAAAGCCAAGATATGGAAGCAACCTAAGTGTCCATCAACAGATGAATGGGTAAAGAAGATATAGAGTATGTGTATATATATGAATATTTATATAGATAATATTTCTCAGCCATAAAAAAGAATAAAATTTTGCCACTTGTAACAACATGGATCAATCTGGAGGGTATTATACTTAGCGAAATAAGTCAGAGAAAGACAAATATTATATGTCACCACTTACATGTGGAATCTAAAAAATAAAACAAATGAAAGAATGTAACAAAACTGAAATAGGTTCACATATATAGAGAACAAATTCATGGTTACCAGTGGAGAAAGGGGATGGGGAGGGGCAATATAGGGATAGAGGATTAAGAGGTACAAACTACTATGTATAAAATAAATAAGCTATAAGGATATACTGTACAGCATGGAGAATATAGCCAATACTTTATACTAACTTTAAATGGAGTATAATCTACGAAAATATTGAATCACTGTCATACACCTGAAAGTAACATAATACTGTAAATCAACTGTACTTCCATTTAAAAAAAAAAAAAAGTCTGAAAACCAGTTTTATTACATTTTGTCCTTTATAAAAATTAATAGAAATCAAAACAGTGAAAAGATTAAAACTAATCAGAATACAGGCCCTAAAGTTAAGAAAACTAAAAGAAAGATGAAAATAAAGATGAATAATTGCCCCCCCCACAAAAGGCAATTATTTTGGTTTCTCTAATGTGCACCAGACTTGCGTGTCTGATTGCATTCAAATACTAAAGACAAGAATGAAATGAAAAGCTGAAACCAGATTAAGATAGGTTATTCTGAAAGAACCTTTTTAAAATTACTAAAGTCATACATGTAGGTAATACAGATATGTGTAATTAAAAAATGATAGTTTAAAAAAAAAAAATGATAGTTTCCTCCCTGCAACCCACTTACTAAGGTAAAAGCTTCCATATATTTCTATATGCTTACACAAACATTAACATATTTAAGGTTTGTTCTTTAAACAAAACACTACACATATTATATGTATTATATGTAATATATGTATTATAATAATATGTATTAACAAAATATCTTATATATATTTCCAAAGCAATAATATAGATCTATATTCACATGATTGAGAGAAAAAAGGAGTATTCATTGAAAAATTAAAAACAAAACAAAAAACCACAACCTAAAAATATGAAGTACTCAGGAAGGAGTAGAGTATGACTTGCTGTGTTCAGAGATGGGAAAGCCATATTTAAACTTCTGAGAGGAACTCCCTGGCAGGCCAGTGGTTAGGACTCCGAGCTTCCACTGAAGAGGGCACAGTTTCGATCCCTGTTCAGGGAACTGAGTTCCGGCATGCTGCGCAGTGTGGCCAAAAAAGCAACAACAACAAAAAGATTCTGAGAGAATCCAGAATCCTGGGACCATTTTAAATGTATGATTACCCTTCAACACAGATTACCCCTGATTTTCTATTTTTGTTTTATGTTTTAGGTGTTGTGGGGTTTCTTCCCTTTTTTTGGAGGGTCATCCTAGTTAACAGGATTATATAAGGAGTTTAAAGGAACACAAAGAAAAAGTGTGTATAAAAGAGACTAAGCTCATCTGGGCCACTTTGGTTGAAGAGCCTGAGCAAGAATGCTGTCAAGTAGGGTTATGGTAGCACGAGGCCACTTCCCCTAGATGCTCAAGGCCACTTTTATATTCTCTATCCTCCCACCATCTAACTACCCATCATCTAACATTTAACATTTTGTTACAATTAGATTCTTAGGCTTGGTTCTAAAGACCATGAAAGGGGGTAAAAAAGATGCCCAAATGTAGCTGCCAAAGAGAAATAAACCCTGGTCGGATTTAACTTCACAGTACACTTGATAATTCAAAAAACATGAATGACACATTTCCAAAACTGATTACAGAAGAAAAGTCCTTGACTGGGTCAATGAGGAAAAAACACATTGAGAGGTTGTTAAAGGCCTACCATTAAAATTTTTTTTAAATGTTTAATTATAAAAAAAACTGACAGCAGGCCCATATGGTTTTATGAGCAATTTCTCCGAAATCTCAAGGTGCAGGTAATTACTATGTTATTCAAGCTATTTCTGAGCAGAAAAAAATATGTATTCGTGTTTTATAAAGCCAACATAGCTGATACCAAAACCTGATAAGATGATACAAAAAGAAAACAAGAGTCTCTTTCACTTAAGAACATAAATAGTGGGACTTCCCTAGTGGCACAGTGGTTAAGAATCTGCCTGCCAATGCAGGGGACATGGGTTCGATCCCTGGTCCAGGAAGGTCCCACATGCTGTGGAGCAACTATGCCTGTGTGCCACAACTACTGAGCCTGTGCTCTAGAGCTCACGAGCCACAACTACTGAAGCCTGCACGCCTGGAGCCCGTGCTCTGCAACAAGAGAAGCCACAGCAATGAGAAGCCCATGCACCGCAACAAAGAGCCCACTCTCCGCAACTAGAGAAAGCCCACGTGCAGCAACAAAGACCCAATGCAACAAAAAACAAATAAAATTAAATTGATTCTTTAAAAAAAACCCAAAAAACAGGGCTTCCCTGGTGGCACAGTGGTTGAGAGTCCACCTGCCAATGCAGGGGACACAGATTCGTGCCCCGGTCCAGGAAGATCCCACATGCTGCGGAGCGGCTGGGCCCATAAGCCGTGGCCGCTGAGCCTGTGCGTCTGGAGCCTGTGCTCTGCAACGGGAGAGGCCACAACAGTGAGAGGCCAGCGTACCGCAAAAACAAACAAACAAAAAACCAAAAGAACACAAATAGTACAGGGTATTTAACCTCTAGATTCTGCAGAAATGAAAAAGTAATTTCTAGCAGTGTATATAAGTATAACCGAATTCTAAACACAAAAAATCTGGAGTTTATCATTCTACCATGTAAGAAGGCATAATGGAATAGCAAGGGGAAAAAAAAAAACAGGCCTACTCCAAACTCGTTCCAAAGGAACAAACAATAGCACAATGCACTCTAATGTATTCAATATATCCTTGGACAAGAATGTTTAAGAGCCATACAGTCCTGAGTAGATGCTGAAAAAAAAAAAATTTGCTATAACTCAATAGCTCATTCTAATAACAGCCACATCTAATAGAAAATACAATAAATGATAAAAACTATTAACCAAAAACACAACAATTATCATTCTAAAAGGTGAAATATTAAAACCATTTCAATTAGTATCAGCAACTAGAAAGGGATATATCACCATTATTAGTTAATATTCCTCTTAGAGGTTCCAGCCAGTGGAATAAGAAAATGAAATAATTGGTTTAATTGACTATAAGAGATAAAACTATTTCTTTTGCTGATAATACTGAATACCTAGAAAACACAGAAATTCTATTTTAAAAACCACCCAAATTAATAAGAAAATAAGGCAAGGCGGTTTGATACAAGAAAAACATTCAAACATTAACAGCTTTTCTTTAGGTTAGCAATTAATATCCAGAAATGAAAATGAAGGGGAAAATTCCACTCACAATGGCTACAAACATAAATATTCAAGGAAAAAATGTAATAAGAAAGACATGCCATGTATGAAGAAGAAAACTATAAAATCTTAGTTAAGGCCGTAAAATATGAATAAGTGAAAAGACAAATCTACATTCTGGGGTGGGAAAGCTTAATGGCTTTCTCCAAAAACTAGTAAATTTTATGCAGTTCCAGATGGATTAAAGACAAATGTTAAAAAAAAAAATCTGCATGTACTGTAAGGTTGCTGATATATGATAAAGATAACATTTAAATTTAGTGGGAATTTACCTAATATATAGGGATAGACAACTGACTATCCATCTGAAAGAAAAAACAGCTCCAGTTCCTCTCTCATACCACATATAAAAATAAATTTCAGGTAAATTAATGATTTTTTAAAATCAAAAATCTTAGAAGAAAACCTAGGAGATCCCATGTATAATCTGGGAAGACCTTAACCAAGTTAGGAAAACCGAAAGAAAA